TTTGCTTACCATAGGTGGGCGGCTGTCTCTACCGAGCGAACGCGGCTTATATAAACGGCAAAGAAAAACCCATAAAACCGAACTTCACGGTAGACGTGGTACTCGTGGGAAGGTGTAACAATTAACATAGCAGAAGAAAGCAAGACTTCTGACGACAACTTTATACGGTAAGAGCTACTGGTTAGAAGGGATTGGCCACCAAAGAGAAGAAACTTTGCAGTTAATTCAAGAAACAGAAGTTGGAGCAAGCACCTGAATGAGGTGAGGGAAGCGTGTAAATACTCATATGGAAAAAAAATCCCAACACTTTAATAAAGGCATTAATCAGTAGGGTAATTTGAAACTCATGAATGTGACTTATTTTTGTGCTGTAAGTTGTCATCTTAAAAAATTTTGTTTATCAGATATGCCAGTCTTTTAGGAGCTGGAAGAGGAGCGCGACGATGCTTTGAAGGCCTGCGAAGAGTCCAGCCTTTAAGAGTCGTCAAAGTTCCTCACAAAGCGCGGATCTAGATCGCTTGTCTCATCCTTCAGTAAGAACTGTCTACATAAAATAGCAGATGTTTTAGAGATTGAACGGTTTAATATTGAAATTCGTTTACTTTTGTTTTTATTTAATAAATTTATGGTTTTTTTTGTCATTTTCATGCTGCATTATCACTACTCATGGATAAATTACACTTATTGTCGCTCTGTAAGTAGAAACCATTTTATGAGGATCATTCATCGATTACTTACAAGGACGTATTAAAATAGCCTTGTACCCAAAGCTTATTTCGTTGGCAGAGATCTCTGGGACTCCTGCAACAGCCTGCTATAAGTGTCCAACTGGGTTAGATCTCGAGGAGTCACGTTGCTCACCAGAGACATGCGCAGGCTAAAGGTGGGAACGAATTGGAAAACTCGTAAGTAGCAAGGATATTGCTTCTCTTGGTTAGGAATCATTCGTGTCTTCTAAAAACAGGTGTGCAGAGGTTTTTTGCTTCTGACGTGGTTATCGATTCCGATTTTTCCTGCTTCGGAATATTTTGGTCTTTTTTCTGGTCAAGTGGTAGATTTTTCGAACTGATTCAAAGATTTTCCGTTTGTTAATTAAACTTGAAATCCTGTTGAAAATATTGAAAATGTGCATCTCATAGGATAGATAGGAGCAGAACTACAGCTCCTTATGCATACATGTTTAAGTTTTAGAGGGAGACTTTGTGAAGTTAAAGTATACAGTGGTCAACATAAGGATGAATAATTGCTGAGCTATTTATGGGGGATTCACCTAACAAGTGCGCATGTGCCAGCGCCATGATAGACCGTGATGGACCGTGATCTCAATCGATACAGCTGAACTGTGCGCTGTGCACGTGCTCTGTTGCTGTGACAAAAGTCCACACACGCACACACGCACACAGTTCAGCTATATTGATCGAGATCACGGTGTCCATCACGGCGCCTGCATACACGCGCTTGTCGGGTGAATCCCCTATACGTCTCTCGAGATAAATTTTACGAAAATTTGCAACATGAATTTTTTTTAGATTTGACGCTCTGCGTCCACCTAGAAAAAAAAGTTCTGTCATATCTACATCTATTTTTCGGTAAAGCTTATTCATTTTTCTATGCGGTGATTGGCGGGAAATTTCGAGCTTGGGTGACCGAAGAACAATGCGTAATACTATCGAGAAGGTCATCTATGCGTAGTATTAATTTATTCCGCCTAAAATCCCAATAACTCGCTCCATAGCTGCTACAAAAAGGGCGGTCTTCCTGTCACGTGACTAAGGTCGTTCCTGTAATGGCCCTGTATTTTCCTTGCACTTTCAATTTCCGAGTCACAGTATTCACTACGTTCAGAACTCGTCGTCATTCGCACTGTTGAACTTTCTAGACCGCCATCGCACCAGTCAGGACAACTGCCGAGGACAGGACAGTAGAAGGACTTCTCTCGTCTCTTCTCCTAGCTCTTTTTCAGTGTAGTAGTGCGGCGAATTTCCCTGCTTGTTTTGCTTATTTTTCAAGCATGTTCACCTTTGGACTTCTCACTGATTCAAAAATCCTGTTCCAAACAGTCTCATGCGTAATGACCGAGGTTTAGACGCGGAACCACGCGGTCTTTCCCGACAGAGACCCACTGCATGGCCCGTGAGCGTCAACAAAAGTGAGAGCGTCTTGCTTTATTGTTGACTATGAACAAACTTCGCCCTGCTGGTATTATCGCCTGACAAACTTACAAATGAGCTGATTCTCACGATTACTACTGTTATCAGTGGCCGCTGATGTTTTGAGTACTTTTCAACAAAAAAAGCCCCACTAGGAAACGCCTTGTCTTCGTTCTTGGGTAGATGTATTCCTTAAATTTCAGACCAGACGTGCATGAGGAGGAGTAACTGTACTTCCTCGTCACCTAGATTATTTTTCAAGTTTTCCGCCTCCTTTATGGTTCCGTTTTTTCTCTAACGCCTTACTTTGCTTGTTCCGTAAAGCAGAGGTAACTAGGGAATAATAATAAAGTAAGAGATAAAGAAGGGAAGCCCTTTCGAAATGTATGCTGTTCCCCTAAATCAAGTGTAGATGCAGAAACTCACCAGGGAACCCTTTGAACTTAGTGGAACGGTATAGAACGGGACCAACTCTATTTTATAGGTAATCAGCCTGGTAGAAAAAACCCTAAAGTATAAAGGTACTAATTTTTGTGTAGGTGAAGTTATGGCATTCGAAAATTCGTTTAATTTTGCTCTAAAATCACCAGAAATTTAGCATTTTGCGCAAAATAAAGCAAATTCTAGTGCAAAACATTTTGCGTGCAATTTTTCTACCTATCCAACATATTAATAGAGCGCGTTTCCAAAAAAAGCTTATTCCCAGTTATTATAAACCAAATTAAGCGAATTTTCGAACACCATAACTTCGCCTAAACAAAAATTAGTACCTTCTTACTTCAGCGTTTTTATAGCGGGGCGATTACCTATGAAACAGGGTTGGTCCTGTTCGATATCGTTCCACTGGCTTCAAGGGGTTCCTTGGTCAGTACAACGTGCAGGTCACCAGTAGATCAATACTGCTTATATGGCTCACGTCCACTCTCTAAACCCATTCGTATATTTTATACGCTGAGAGAAGAATCCTATATAATAAAAGGCATATGCGTCCGTGTGTGTGTTTGTGTGTGTCCGTATGTCCATCTTGAAGATAGGTATTGATCGATAGACTAATGCTCCCATTACTCGACAACGGACCGAGTAAACATAGACAATGTGTATATCGATCGACAGCTTATAGAGAGCTGACTCAGAAACATCACCCGGCATCGGTCCATCAATCGAAAACCGATCAATAAATCGATAACATGCCGATTTCACATTGGTGAAGCAGCATGTACATGGATCGACGCATAATCGAAAGCTGATTCAAAAACATCACCTGGCATCGTTCCTTGGATCGATAATCCTGTACAATAAAAAGCTTATGCATCCATATGTGTGCGTGCGCACGTCCGTACGTCCATCTTGAAAATAGGTGGTGATTGGCCGGTCGATGCTCCCAGTACTCAACAAGGGATCAAGCACGCGTAGCCAATGCACGTGCATATTGATCGATAGCTCATTGGAAGCTGATTCGGGAAATCGATAACCGATGATAGTCAATCGATAGGTCGACAATGCGCCGACTTTACAGTGACGGGGCAGTATGTGCATACATCGGTACATAGTCGAAATCTGATTTAGAAAAACGACTCGATTTTGGTCCGTCGACCAATAGTCGACAGATCGATAATGTACAAAATTCACAGTGATGAAGCAATTGGTGCATGGATCGATATACAATCGAAAGCCGATTCAGAAATCAGTCGGCTGTTGATCCACCGATCCATAACCGGCCGATAAATAGATAATTTACCCATCCCATAGCGCTCCAACAATATGCACAGGGAACGGTAGAGAATCGAAAGCTGATCCAGAAAATCAGACAATTATCGGACGGACCGTCGACCAATAATCGATCAAAAAATCACTAACTTGCAGACGCACGTAGGTGGGGTGATATGTATGTGATACGTATGGACTGGCAAATAGTCAAGGCTGATCCAGAAAACTGATCGCCAAAAGCTAATTGCGCGCTGGATTAGGAGCCGCAAAACGGCTCACGGGTCGACTTGTATTTCAAGGAAATATATAGAGAATGACTCACCTTTATTCCTTGAAGCGCCAGTGGATTTATTTCCGAATTTCGTTCTCTCGTCTTCTATCTTTTTTATAACAATTTTTGGTTTTTTCTAAAAATATTTGTTTTTAATTTTAAAAAAAAACTTGAGGTTTCAGTTCCTTCGAGATCCAATTACGGTTTCGTCTTCTCATATAAATGGCTAACTGTTTTTTAAAAATATTTTTAAGGCATTTTGAAGGTTTTTAAAAGTATATCTGGAAACTATAATATATAAATATATTTCTAAATATTTTTTTGCACCTAAAAAGCTTCGCATATCAATTTTTCGAACCATTTTATTCGTTTAGCTCGTTATTTATTTATTTATTTATTTATTTATTTATTTATTTATTTATCTACTTATTTATTCATTCTTTATTTCCTCGTTCATATTTGACATAAAGTAGCAGACAGCTCGGTAGGACATCTTCGAAATAAAAAAAATTTGAAAATATATCTTCATAGAGATTTCGTTCTTTCCATGTTGTTGACAGTATTTATTTTTAATCAGAAATTCTCCAAATAAAAAATGTTTTGAAAATTTTATAATTGCTATCCTGTTGTGCTTCTTCCCCATTTCTCTCTTTATCATTTATTCCCTCTTTTCAGTACTTTGACTGCTTGCCATAGTTTTATATGCGCTTTACTACTGTAGCACACTTTTCACTTTATCGATTTTGACGCGGTCAAAAGGGAAGGGTAGAGTAGCAGATTATTTGCTGTAGCTAGTCAAAAACGAATGTGGTCACCTCTCAGCAGGAAGCTACCGCTCGTTCATAGGCCATTCCACCGCGAACGGCGCCGTGCCGTCGATAGCTCAGTTGGTAGAGCGGAGGACTGTAGAGTGGCAGCTATCCTTAGGTCGCTGGTTCGAATCCGGCTCGACGGAGTGTTTTGCGTTTTTCGTGTTATTCCGTGTTTTGGTGATATAGGATGTAGTTCGTTGTTTGCCACTATTTTCTCACCAATTAACGGCGTTTTTTTTAGAACCTTTTTCATAATTTTTTTCCTTTGATAGCTAAGATACGCTGATCGAAGAAAAAAGTTATATTCGAAAGGCGCGGCGAAATTTAAAATGCTATTTCACCTAGAAATTGAGTTTTTTCTGTAAAAACGTTTTCCTTCTCATCTTAGATTCCTAATCAAATAAGCGAAATTTTACATGTAATCGGCAAGTGACGAGGGTGCGTTTAATTCTCTTCCAACAAACTGCTGGGAAGCGCAATTTTAGTTACTGAAATTTTTTTGATGGAGGAGTTTACTACTACCGCTATTATACTTAGACTCTTTCCTGGTAATTCCTGTTACTCCAAATAAAATCCCAATTAAATTCTCATTTTGAAGGTTCAATGACTTACAGCTCTGGACGATTCGTAGCTCGTCCATGTTTATTGCTGTTTATTTATTTATTTAT